AGTATTCACAGTTTTAAACTGCATGCTTGAATAAAAAGTTGATTGTTCGACATTGATCGAGTAAAGTGTTTTTTCATGATGCCGAATTTATATATGTATTTTCGGTAAACTATTATTACCTTTCATATATAATTTATGTAAAATGCATAATAAATACGATTTATCTGATTTGTGTGAAAAATGATTAAAAATATGTATAAATATTATACATATTTATAAAAAAAATAATATATATATATATATATAATATTATAGAAATTTTAAAGTTTGATTGAAAGAATTTTTCATTTTCTTTCAAGACGACCGATATTACAAATATTTCAATTTTTGTATTAACCACAATTTGCGAAAATAGAATTATGCTATCACTCGTATTCAATATAATATTTTATATGCAATGCGCACAATTATCAATTACATTTAATTCCAATGATTGAATCATTACTAAGAACAAAGCGAAATTATTGTTGATTAATATTGGAACCGAAAAAGAGAGAGAAAAAGAGAAAAGGTGAGAGAGAATGAGATATTAAATATAAATATTCAAGACATTGGATACATTCAGCTATATTTTACGAATTTACTTTACAAGGCGCCGCATATAAAATGTACCCGATACAAAGTACCTGTATAAATATCAATAAGTGTATTAGCAAAAATATCTTTCGTCGTCGAAAAGAGAATTCGATTTATTCGATGTAAGTATTTCAGACGGTGCGTGCAGCGACAATCGATTGTTGGGAGACACTGCAATTCTTAATTGCATTCATACGTCAGAATGAGTCTGTTAAGAATGTTTCATTACTACTGGACGAAAATGACCGATTATTATGGATTATAAGTAACGCGTACATGATAGTCATTTACTTTCTTGTCACTCTTGGGTCATAAATCTTTGTATCATGCAAACAAACTGTGTGCAGTAATGGCAAAACGAATATTGCTTAATATTGTAGAAAATAACATTACATATTTTATAATAAAATTAACTCATAAGAAGCAGGAAATGCTTTTCCGTTTAATAATCTTCTTCCTATATAGTAAAACTGCATATTATAAATTTGCATTTGAACTTACAGATCCGCGAACTAACAATTGATCGGTTAATAAATAAATGATCGTCTAATAAATACCGCTTCTGTTGCTTATACTTTGTTTTACGATGCGAGCGACCCATGAAAAATTGGCCGCCATATTTATTGAAAACATTTTATGCAATTCTGCAATGTTTTTCAAATAGTTGCAAGCATATGAATGGTATATGAACACATCGTCGCAAATGGGTTTACGGCAACATCCTTAACTTGCGTGACAATTGATTATTCGTACTAGCCTAAACCTTATGGTATGTTGTCAATTATTTATTTTTAATAAAAAATTAAGAATTATGAACTTTCAAACGCATATTCTATATTAATTCGTTATTTCAATTACTTTTTTAATTAACAATTTTAATTACTGGACTAATTACCAACCATTGTCCGCTTTAAAAAGCGAGCAATTTACTCACAAAAGCAATAAAATTTTTTCTAGTTTAACAGTCAATAAAACATTTTTTTTTATTCAATCGCATAACACTACAAAGTTCATTACTACGAGAGAGAGAGACAGAAGCTATTATATCAATTATTGAATTATGTATCCCAATATATATAATAAGTAGATCATAAATATTCAATAGAATGGTGCGGTCGTATATGTGCTCAGGAAGAGAAATATATTTAGATCTGGTTTCTGCACGTCTATCACCACGTCTTCAACGGTGTGATTGTCTGGATTTACACAAAGTACGTCGCTGGAATGTCGACGTTTGTAAGTCTGCTCAATTGTTCCATACATGTCATAATGTACATTTACTACTATTTACTCGCCACATTCGGACCGGCTGTACAGAAAATTACTAACACAATTGAACCGTTGCTATTTGCAGGATAGTTATGATCCGGCAAATAACAAGTTCACATATTGGTTATCAATTGATCTACCATCAAGATCATGAAACATCCATATTTGGAAATTAAAAGACTAATAAAATTTGTATTTCTATAATTTATAAAATTATTAAAATGTATATTTTATTATTCACGCAATATCTTAAAACAATGTAAACGTAATAAATCTGCTCCTGTTCTATAAATTTTATAAGAGACGCTATATAAAATCTAAGAAAACTAACAATATGCATTTGAAAAGATAGTGAATGAACATCGCGAATGTAATAAGATTATTACAGAATTGAATATATATAACACTACATTACAATATTTTGTTTTATATCCATTTTTGTATTGCACATGATATATATAATTTCGAATAATTTAATACTTTCAGAGATGTTTAAAAAAACATAAAATGGCTGCGTATTGATAAAACAATAGAGTATGCCATTATTTTACATTAGAATAAATAAACTTTATAGTATTTCATAAACATATTTTTGATGTAAAATAAATACTCTTATTTTTGTGTCTCTTATGCTTGAAAATGATAATACAATTTTCATGTTATATTATATACGAATTATTTAAGCATGTTGCACACAAAGTAAAATACAAAGAGACGTTCGTTTGTAGTATCAGACTATCAAATTAGCGATTAAACATAGTTCGCATTTCTGCACTTCAATGTAATATAATAGCTCGGAACTCAGATCTACAGTTCAAAATTTAAATTAGTTACATTCTTAAAATTCTAACATTTATAGCATTAGTTTTTTGAAGATTTTTTTTTTCTCCTAAAAGAAAACAAATAAAAAGTGGTTGTGACGCAAGATGTGATAATTTCTACAATTGTGTATAGTTATATGATAATTATATTAACAATTTTATATAATAATTAAATGTAACAGTTATTAGATCAATAAATTTTTTCTTGGAATCCTATTTACATTATTATAAATCCAGAAAATAATATGGCAAAATTACAAAGTGAGATTGACGCAAATGCAAAAATATCCGTAAATAGTTTTCAAAAATTTTGGAAGATAAACTTTAAAGCAAAGAGAGAATGTCATGCACATAGTTGCCATATAGTAAGCATCATAAAGGTTGCTGCTTGTATAAAATATCTACAAAAAATAACTGTTAGAAGAACAAAAATAGCAAACTGCAAAGCTACCGTGCTATTAGTTCCCATTCCTTCGCGTAGTCACAATGCTCTTTTCTCTCTGAACGTGCCTACGAAATGACAGTAAACTTTAAAATTGTTTTACGCTGACAAAAATAGAAACTGCAAAATCGCAAATACGAACAGAAAACGAGAGATTTCTATGTGAAGATAATAGCGGTAGTGGAAAAAAATGGCGTGCCACGTTTGGACAATACTGAGTTAATCTCAATAACAACAAATCTTTCGTACTTACAATTAATTCGTTTATTGCTTTTGAAAAATGTAAATTATTTTGTTTAAAATTATATTATATCATTTTCGCCGAAAATTTGAATTCAACATATATTTGAATTGTTTTATTTGTGTTGCAGATACAATTTGTCGAATTAATAATGTATGTGAATTTCTTTCTTAGTTGTCAGATTGTGCAACATTACTACTACTTTTCATGATAAACATAATAATAAACTTCTATACGTTTTATAATTTCTATCAAAAAACATACAAAAAATCTAAGAAAAGAACTGCATAGATCATGGAAGAGAGAATATTAAAAGCATCGTTCCTTACTTTTGTGCATTACTTATGTGCACATGTAACATAACATCTTAGTAAGCAAAATATTAGCAAAATGTTGATAAATTGATAGCAAGTTTAATGAAATTTGATAAATCTGCCAAGATTTAATTATTTAGAATTATACACGAATATTTTTTATGCATATACACATATAAAATATTTTATTTAAAATAAATAAGTAATCAATAAATTTCTCATGGATGCTACGTATGATTATTCTGACTTTTTCTTTCATACAAAAAAATGTATAACTCCTTTATAAAAAACCCTGAACTTAATTTGTTATTAATTATCTATAATTATTATTTATTGTACATACTTGATAGAAAATTATTTTTTTAACTGCACAATAATAAAGTTATTACAATAAATGTTATTGTTCCGTTACAGACAATCATAATCGATAATTTGTGTGACACTAAGATAGTTTTAGGGTTAAACTATATTACTAAACGCTTTTCTCCAACGACGTACACGTCAGTTGCACATGTTTGACAGTTAATGTCAAACTTAGTGAATCGGGAGAGCGACATTTTAGGTTTACGTGGGAAGTATTTGTCAGTATCACTTGACAATGTATTACCGATAACTCCAGAGGGACTGGATTAAGGAAATTTCAAATACTATGTAGAAATACAGGATAATCGACATTTCTTGCCATAAAATTTATAACAAATAAATTCATATCTTAAGCGTAAACTTAACTTGCTTAATTTGTTCGTGTAAAACACTTAAATACTATTTTAATTGCTTTTAATACTAGTTCATAATACTAGTTCGACGTATCGTCGAAACCATGACACAAAGAAATACTTTTTATCATCTCATATATTAATCAATCATTCTCTTTACATTTTACAGCACAATTTTACAATGTAAATAGTTAACCCTATTTGCAATGTTAAATCTATTTATAATAGTCTTTATGATAGTCTTATTATTTAAAAAAAGTTGAAAAAAATTTGCGGATTACATTGGAAATTCCTGTTTTAAATTATGTGCATGTATGCGTTTCAATTTATTTAATAATAAATAATAACTTATACTTTTAGTAAATTTTTTTTCAGTGTTTTAAACAGTAATAATTAGACATACTTCGCAACATACATATTTGAAATGCATATTTAATACTATGTAAAAAATTATGTAAAAATATGCATCGTCGAGTACAAAGTTCATTTTTCATTAATTAATTGAGCCAGCGCTCGGAATTGGTTGCACATTTCGGGCCGATTCCCGAGACGACGCCTCTTGTTCTCCCACTACCGCCCGGCCGCCAGCGGCCGGGCGGTAGTGGGGGAACAAGAGGCGTCGTCTCGGGAATCGGCCCGAAATGCAATTAATTCCTAGCGCTGAATTAAGTAATAATACAAAGGCCAATAGTAAAGTCCAAACTTAACAGTTACAGCAGACACAAGCTCTCGCGTCTTGTCGAAGTGCAAACCGAGTCAATAAAAGAAACCACAGTTATATTACTTCTGCGCAGAATTATCAACGCGAGAATTTGCACGATGAAGTTATCCGAAGTGTTTGCTTGGACAGAACAAGTCGGTAAGTAAAATAAGTATTAGTTGCAGACAATAATTTGATGTTTTTGTGTTTGAAAACTTTTCGTGTTAGAATTGACAAAGTTAGTATTTATTATTTAAAGAATGAGTTATCCGTTATTCCTCTTTATACAATTCAAGTTTTTTTCTTTTAGAAAACTAGCATTAATTTCTTAAAAACAATATTTTTAACAAGATTTTCAAAAATCTTTACTTTCCAGATCCACGAACGAAGGATTGGCCGCTGGTCAGTCCGATATATCACATTCTATTTATAATATTTATTTATTTTTTTCTGGTTTTTTATTGGATTCCCCGATATATGAAAAACAAACCGCCTTATAAGTTAACGACATACATAAAGTGCTACAACGTCTTCCAAGTCGTGGTGAACAGTTGGCTGGTGCGAGAACATATAGCTGCCGGTTGGCTGAAAAATATACCGTTCACTTGTGTGGTTACAACTTATTCTTACGAATTTCCTCATTATAAGGTACGTAAATAAAACGATGATTTTTATAGTGTAACGTACAGTGAATATCTTTTAAAAAGTACCTGTTTATGGTTCTATGGTATTAGCAGCTATTTTATTAAAATTGGGTACTTATAGTTTGATTCGATTAATAATATAATTTTTATTTATAGATGCATTAATTTTAATTATTTAATTTTTAAAGTTTTAATTGTTGGGAGGTTTATAGTAAGATTTTTATGTTTAATACAGATTGATTTAAAAAGATTAGTGGCTTATTCGTTTGTAGTACACATAAATTTTTTGTTAGCAGCTATGATAACTATAATAAAACTATAAAAAAATTGAAATGAAACAAATAAAAAGCTATAAGAATCAAAAACGCGAATGCTGGGGCACAAAAGGTATTGCAAATTTATATAAAGTAAATTATGAATTGTATATCCACCTTTCAGATTCTCTTATAGCTTTTATTTTTCGTTGATAATATTTCCACATCTTTTATAAATACTACATATTAGGTATAATACAACGTATAAAATATTGATGTTCAAAATTTGATTACAGTTTGCTCAAATCATATGGTGGGTCTTATTGTTGAAAATAGTAGATCTTACAGAAACGATAGTATTCGCATTGAGAAAGAAAGATAAACAAATTTCGACACATCATGTGTATCATCACGTATCAACTGTGCTGCTATTGTGGGTGAGCGTAAAGTATGTTTCTGGCGAATCGTCGACGTTCAGCACGCTTCTTAACTGCAGCGTGCATATGTTGATGTATACCTTTTATTTTCTCGCGGCATTCGGGCCGCGCGTTCAAGCGATTATTTCACCATTCAAACAATTCGTCACCATAATTCAGATGGTAAGCATACTATTATGACTCAAATGTTTTATACAAAATACACAAGACTAGTTTAAAAAATTATATTAAGTATTCTGAAACACACAAATATTTTATGGCAATTTATTCCATAAATAGGTGCAGTTGTTTGCTATAATAATCTACTCTCTACAAATATTAGCGCCTGGCTGTAACACATCAATAGCATTTCCTACAATAATACTTGTGAATGTTGCAATAAATTTGTATATGTTTTATAAATTTTATCGAAAAACTTACATATCAAAAATGAAGCAATGAAGAAAGAAAACAACAAGATTGTAAAAACGACAAACAAATTTATATATAATTATTTTTATTTGTAAAAAGTGAAAAAAATATAGATATTATATTGCAAAGAAACTTAAAATAAATGTAATAAATGTAAGTAATTTATCGAAAATTGTATGACCTGCATTATTAAATGCCGTTTGTATTATAAAATTGAATTCAAGACAAACTTTTTACATTTAAAAATAAATTCGTGATATCTACAATTTAAGGCGTTCGTGACATTAACGTTGTAACGTGACATTGTGCATATTATTGTAAAATAAATGCATCATAAGTTCAAAGTATAATAATCAGACTTTGTACAATAGTACTTGCAACGTTTGTGACGTTAAATGTGACATTGTGCATCAATTTAAACTAAATGCATTCATTAAGTCAAAGTATAATCATCGGATCTTACATAATAATACTTGCAAGCACACATAAAATATAGAAATCAATAATACCTCTTTTAACGTGTAATGTTAAAAACAACGCTCGATTGTCGATATATGAAAGAAAGTTGATATATTAGAATCAATAACGAGACTATCAAAAAATTAAATTCCAATAAAAATTCATCGCAAGTACAACATCACAATAATAAATATATAAACGCATAAACAAAAATATATCTGCCATGGATTGCCATTCACGAATAGTTTAACGATTCGTAGTTGGTTGCGCATATTATTAATCGGAACAGTTGAACACATATAAAATATTGATTGCTTCAGATGGAATTGGTGTGTAGGTAACTGTTATCATTAAGATTTTGACCATCATTTAAGATGGACCTAAGTGCTTCTCTTCTATCTTACTATTGAGGGAATGTTCTTTTCGCCTACACTATGTTTTTACCACAATCTTAATGTCGTTTGATTTTGAACGTTACGGCTGTTCTTCTATAGATTATTCCGAAAAACTGTATTATGTTCTCACTTCTTTGTAATTAATGCGTTGCGCCTTTTTGTTATTTTTATTATTTATATTGGTAAGATAAGGGCTTGATGACAAGCCGAAACGTTTATATTCTACGATAATGTAAATTAAGTAATACACTATTGCTCGATCAACTTGCTTTTTGGCTCTTTACGCTCCTGTTTAATAATTTTGATTTTGTTATCATTATGATTAAGCACTTACTGTACAATATGAAAAACATCAATGTCTTCGAGTTTAAAATAATAAAGATAATAATAAAGATAATTTTATTTTTATTTGATTTGCATCATCCGCTGTCAACAAAAACAATTTTTGCGTATACAAATATTCCTTAACTTAACAGTATTTAATTTTTTATAATACCTTTTTTTATATGTTTCATGTAATTACATATTTATTGCAAAAATCTATTTATTATCTTTAATATCAAAATTTATTAAACGTAATTATTAAATTGACAATATTGTGAAAGGTATTGTACACACACATATGAATAACATTAAATAAAATAACTGATATGAATATATTTAATGTAACTTGCATATATATTTCATATACATAAATTGCATGTATATTTTACATACATAAAAATTAAATAATTAATATTAAATAATTAATATTCTTTTGTTAAACGCTTAAGTATCAACAAAAGTCACACTTTGTTAACTGTTCATTTGTTTCGGTGCTTTGGTGTAGCTTTTCTTATAAAAATCGTTAAATAAGTACAGAAATATTAATAAATTTCCAATAAAGATGGGTACTAGTGTAAATTTTACATTACTTTCACACGTTGGGAATACAGCTTGCAGTATATATAGTATCAGCACAATAAACTGTACCTGTAATTTCGTAAACAGAAAAAGATATGACAAAAAATATAATACACAAATGCGTAATACTATTCACAATAAAACATTAAAATAATAAATAGGTAAAAATATAAAAAATATCCCATACTTATATAAAGTTTAAAATACTATAATACAACTTGCCATTTGCATCTTGGTTATGAAAGGTTTGATGGAATACAGCATTTGTTGGAATTGCGGGCTCCATGCAGCAAAAAAGTAATAGATGTACATGATAACATGCACAGCACAATTAACTAAAGTAAGAAGTGTCCCCCTTTCGTCCACAACATATTTTAAATAATACCAGAGAAAACTCAGATTAGATGCATGATGATATACATGCAAAGTTGAAACCTGATTTTGCTTTTTCCTCAATACAAATACGCAGGTTTCGACTAAATCGAACATTTTCAATAAATATATCCACCATACTAGGTTGATCAGCTGAAATACAATTTTTATACATATATATAGAATGCATAGTACAATTATTAAGGAAATAAACTGTAAATAAATATAAAATAATAAAAATGTCACTCTTATAAATATTGATGACAGCCAATAGTTTGCAACGGACCTCAAAAATTATTCATTAAAATCAAATAAATATTTTAAAACTTAACAAGAGAACAAAATAAATAAATTACAAATTAATTCTTGTATTTCAAACAATATTGTGTCTTTAAATTTAAAGAAAAACTGCCAAATAACTAGCAATATATATATATATATCTCTTTTTAACAACAATTTTGCCTTCTCTTGAAAATAATGGTATTACGACTCACAATTAATGGATTGGTGTATTAATTTTTTCTCGCAGACACAATATAAATAATTAACATAGCTAACAATAACTGTTATATCGTTAAAACATACTCTAATCGCACTAGGACTAGTCGGCTCTGATGGCTGGCATGTTACACTATATTTCGAGAACCATCCGGCGGATATATGCTCCTTAACCAGCCATGTGTTTGCCAAAATTTGAATTATATTATAAAACAGTATAAAGTTTTTCAGATTATAAGGCTGTCGATTTTTCATGTAACAAGGGCCAGCATAAAGAACAAAATACGTATACCCAAGAATTATAAATATTATTGAATACAGCGATAACAGTGGCCATTCGCGAGTTAGTGGGTCTGCAAATAAAAATATAGCAGTGTCTAAAAATAACGTAAATTATCTTTACTTTGGTATCACAATTTTACTGGTATCATAATATTACTTTGGTAACGTAAATCATCTCTATTTTTGGTATTGGATATTTTTGGTATTAGTTGTGTAAACTCTTGCAAGTAAAAAGTTATTATAAAAGGCAACAACTTTATGTCAAAATATTTGTATTTTAAGAGAGAATTCTATTTTTATAATGTCAGATAAAAAGAAACAATGTGACAATTCAAACTTTCTAAATTATTTCCGAAGATTTTCTCTAGTTCTTAAATTTTTATTTTTTTAAATTCAACTTTATCACTAAAATTATGTAATATCTGTATGATAAAAAATTTTTATAAAAATCTGTATTCATTAAATACCATAACAATAACATTTATAGTACTATATTATATAATCAAAATACTTAAAAATTTGAGACTATAAAGAAAAATTATAGAATTTTATTATATGTGTGTATGCATTTATGTCAGATTTTCCTAACATTGTATATAAAAAACATATTACCTCTATTTATTAAAAAAGAATAATACTCACTCGATAGATCGATCAGCCAATAATTATAAATCTCTCCCAAACCCATCGTACAAAAAACGTAGTTAATATCTATCAGTAAGCTAATATCGATCAAGAAAAATGATCGGTGCGCAATAATGCCATATTTATAAAAATGCTAGATTGTAACTTCGTTCAAACTCGGTGGTGGTACCTAATTTAATACTTCACACTCCGACATTAATACTAATGTTTTCCGGTGATTTCAATACATTTTTTCATTAGGTAGAGATATTTTTTCACATTTTCTCTACCTTAGATCTTACAATTAGTCTTATAAAATTTCCTTAAAACCTCAAAAAGATTTCAACAATTTTGACGAAAATGCAATGATCTATAATATTAAAAAGTTACTGCAACACCATGGTATACTTACATTTTCATATTAAATCTACGAAATGAGTTTGAATCCATCTTTTTATCGAAAGCAGGATCATATTTACTTACCTAAAACAGAAAAAAGAGAAGATATTTATAAAACATAATACAGCAATATAATAAAGTAATAAATTAGTTAATCGATTAAAAAATATGCATTAGAAAATATGCATATGCGGAAATATGATTCTACTTTTTTGCCTCCGGCAAAAAGCGGTGTAAAGTTAATTTTAAAAATACAGTAACTAAGCATATGTAAATCACGCGCGCGTATATATCCTCTCTTCTCATATTTTAAATATATTAAAAGTCGTCCATTTTTTATTCAAAATGTTTCAATCATAACTTGATTTTTTCAAAATAACCATTTGTGTAAACCCTTGATCTTTCATAATTTTGTAGAAGAAAAAAGAAAAGAAGAGAATCTACATTAAACTAAGAAATATTGGAGTAGTTTCTCCCCTTCATTTATACATAATTAAAACAAACGGTCACGATATTTTTGTTTCTTTCACGCGCCAAGAAAGCGCCAAAGAAATAAACGTTATACATGAATTAATATTCCGTGAATTCTCGCTTGCTTTATCGCAGGTTGAAACGTCACCCTTTGTAAGTATGCGTGAAAGAAAGATTTTCAAAGCCCGTTTATCCGTCCCCGTTATAAAGTGAGATAGAACTCGGCCTCTGCAAGAAGAAAGACTATGCCATCTATCTAAGCCGAGTACTTCCAAAGATCGGCAAAGTCCTCCAGGGGCTTCATCAAATTTTTAGCTCTCCTACGGCCCTTAACTTCCATCACAGCCTGCACGTCTACGTTCACCTTCATCAAAATTATGGCCTTCTTAAGATTCGCACAAGTGGGTCACATCGCAAACACTTCCGAATATATTCTTAGTATAAACCGAAATTATAGCTACTAAGAAACTGTTAACTTTTGCTACGTAATATTATAGTACGCGAAGACAATAAACAGTAGGTCTAAGGTTAAGCGCGTATATTGAATCCACACATTCGTTCGAATGTCGTCCGAAATTGCACGTGTACGCACGAACAATCCCGCGCACATACTGAAAAAGTAAATTAGTCGTGCACTTAGATCCGACGTACGACTAGATCCCACCTTGTTGGGATTTTCGGATCTTTATACCAGGATGGCGTACTTATACCAGGATGAATAACGAGAAGTTTATAATTTTAATTTATGAAAATAACTATAAAACCGCTTCTTGTCATTCTTTTAATCTTCTTAAATATAATTGAAATTCTCCCACTTCTTCTCTCCTTACATATAATTCATTCAGCTATTTTTTTTCTACGATGTCTTCTTTGCCTCATTAAAAGAGAATTCCTTAACGGCTATAGATCATTGTTCATGTTGCCAATGAGAATGTTCATGTTTCCATTAGAAACCGTTCAAAAATTAATATTTTGATATATACAAAATGTAACAGAATCGTCGATTAAACCGCAAAATATTAAACTGAGAAAAAATATATTTATCGTCGAGATATATTAATAGTCGTAGAAAAATAATTTCTATAATCGTTTAAATAATCGTAGAAAGTACAATTTCCCTATTAATCGTACTTTTATCCTTATTAACAAATGTCGCGAGTAATGCAGTAGAAAAAATTACGCGTTGTCCAACTTTGCATACTTTGCTTGTCCCTTCAATGGAAATATCTTGCGCATCAAGACTGCACATGGATGTCACGTATCAACCGCGTTCCAAAAGGGAACGGGAGCGGCGACTGGAGTATAGTAGACGGGACGAGTAAAGTGGGGAATCGCGAGATCGACATAAGCGTTTTAAATGAGTAGGTTCGCGCCTGGCTTTTGTATTTCGCAAACTGTTGTATCATCGCTGCACATTGTACTTTGCCTATTGTCCCTGCCAAGCAACAGTCGGTGTTTGGCGACGGCGACAATGATGGCGCACTTTCACGACGTAACGTGCGTTACAGTTTAGTTTTCAGCATATAAACGAGAAAACTGAAGGCTCTTTCCCTCACCGTACTGACCGATTAATAAAGCTCGATCGATATTTGTTACAGTCGAGCTTTAATCGTATAATTTATTGAATTCAATCGTAGTATTATAATAATAATAGAACAGTTTCATAACAGAGAGTTCTAATTATTTAAAATAAATTGAATATATTCGACTAATTTCGAGCGATCGAACAGCACAAAGTTTTGATACGAAACTATACGATACGTACTTTTTTTGAATAACGCATTTCGTTCTCCTTCTCTTCTCTCTCTCTCTCTTTCTCTTTCTCTCTCTCTCTCGCGCGCGCGCGCGCTTTTAACAGAGAGTACCGCTTTCTCTAATTAATGCGATATCTTTAACAAAGGATTATCCAGTCCGCAATAAAGCAAAATATTTCACTCGCGCTAGGAATAACTGAGCTTTTTCTCTCGCAACGCAAAGTTGTAACGATGATGAGATTCGTTGTTACATCCAAGTAAACTCTTATCTTTTCACTATATAGTTTTCCGCAGGGAGAAAAGCGCATCCTTCTATGTCTGGCGCAAGTAGAAACTTCATTCCTGTCTTCTTTAGATCTCTCTCTTTAATCGTCGAAGGAAATTGTGCGCAGAGGTTGAACCTTCCTCATTGAACGCAGAATACTCCGTTAGGAAGATCAATACCTCCCGAATTACGCAACAGAGATCTAAAAACATCCGATAAATATCGATTCGATTCTCCTTCCATTATCGCGTTACTATCTCGCAGAAATAAGCCGAACGGGAATTATCGCGCAAAACTGTTGACCCTAATTAGATTCGCGTGGAATGAGAAAGTTTTTCGCGATTGAAAGTGAGCTCCGTGAAGTAATGAAATTGCGGCGCGATATAGCACCACAAACATCATTAAAGGAATTCCTTCTCGCGCGAGAGAAATAGGAACTCAAATTTTAACTGCGAACACAACTGCGTACACGTCCCGTGTATATCCAAAAGAGAGACGCTACGACACGAATAATCACGTGCCACCGCATCTTGATGCCCTATTTCGCCCGTATGGCGTAATCTGCATGCGCAAACTTGAACGTATCATCGGAGATCCACCGATAGATCACGTCCACGAGACAAGAAACGATCGGCCGCGCCGAGGACAGGAGGTGGGGGAAAGAGGTGGCGGGGCGCGAGGGTAGAAAGAAAGAAATATTGGAAGGAGATCGGGAGAGATTTATTTCCTCATCGAAAGGTTTGGATTCATGAACCCTATCGATTGCTCCGTTAAGAAGAAACGGCATAAAATATCTTCCCGCTGCGCCGTGTTTCGCATGCGAAACTGTATGTACATTCTGTAGGAGAAATAAAACTACAAAATTCAATTTTGTTCTTTTCACGTTGCCCCATGTTTATACTTGTGCATTGGTGAGAGAAATTATGGCGTTGAGACGGATGCGTGACACAGCGATGATAAAACGATCTATCATTTTTCACAACGCAAGAAATAAGTATGAATATCATTACCGATCAACTTGAATTATCGCATTTTCACATCATGCGAATTGCAAGCAAGAAGAGAGAATCCGATGTTCCGCTTTTCAATTCAATTTTCATGTTTTCTTTCAAATATCTATTAAATTCTGCCCGCCCACGGCCGCGCTTCCTTCCATTTTTCGTAGCATTGTCGGCATTCTTCGCGTCCGAAAAACGACGCGGCCGTTCAAGATGCATGCGTTACACGAGGCAATATTTTAGAACTCGCCCTCCGCCCACGCTCTCGAGTCGGCATAAAGCACGGCTTGCGATTCGCAATTTCGAACTTCTGCGAAACAATCGGGTTCAGCGGAAGACACTCGCAACGAGAAACTACTGTCGAACGCGGTGAGATAAAAGTTCGGAACAATTTCGACGCGCCTCGCGTTAAAAAATCGATAAAGTTCACGAACGCTTAAGAAATGTAAGAGGACACTCCTGCGGACACAAAAATCTCACTTGAGATGACGGAAAAGAGTAATGGTCTCTTCACGAAAGAAGTACACTTTATGGAAGAAAATTGTGACAATAAAAAGAGAAAATTCGAGTTCAAAGTATAAAACCGACAATTTTTCTTGAAATACGTCTATACCTTTTCCATCTTTTGGAGCTTCATTAAAGAAATATAATGAAACAGCGATAAGGGTATTCCGCGGAAGGAAATTATTTGGCGTTCGAGAACTGTTAATTAATTCGAATGAGAAAACAAATGGACGATTAACAGAGGGATGTTATCAGAATGAGAAAAAGGAGGAGGCACACAGAAGGGAGGGAGGTATATCTTTGTAAGCAACGGCGAAATGGAATCCCACGCAGAAGACCACATGCAATCCCACGGTTGATTGCGCAAGTTTTACAAGTTCACCGGGTATCGCGGGGCTGCAATATCGCAGAAGTAGAATCCACCAATGGGTGGTGACTCTCATCTTCGTCGTCGTCATCATCGTCCGCGCCGTGGAAAAAAGGAAAAAGACGAAACCGATAGCCGTGGCAATGGCAAGAAGTTATCGATATCGTTCGAGGGATGTATCGGCGAAGCTTGGCTGACAGTTCCGAGTTGCCGATCGAACGAAACTGTCAATCGCCCTGGAAAAATTTAATTCAGGACCACCTCCCGCCCATTCCCGTCCTATCTGATCGAAAATCTCATTTTATGGATACGTGGCTGGACCGCCGGTCACCCATGACCCGAATCGAGACACTTCTCATTGCCGCCGCGTTTCTACAATTGGTGTTGCCTGGATTCGTCGTTCGATGTTTTCTACTATTTTCCCGACTCAAACCATCGACATCGGCCCATCGATAGCCCACGAGAATTACTAATAATATAATTCAACAAAAATATCGATGCGAGTGACATAAAATAATTCAGCAAAAAGTATATGAATTATGAATGTTTGCGAGATTTGTTTCGAGAATGCGAATGAATAAGGAAACTTTGCTCCCGATCAATTTTAAAGTGCAATTTTATTTTAAGCATAAACTTCGAATGATATTTGCTTGTTAAGAAACTCAATGTTGAAAATTGAGAATTTGCAGAAAATAGTTGCAGTCTCAATTCTATGGTCAATTTCGTGGAGAGAAAATTTGTTCGATGATCGTTAAAAAACTAAAAGTCTCTGAAATATTTTTCGACAAATCGGGACTATCATATATGTGCGACGTGATGTATACTCTACGTGAACTGAGAGATACTATTGCGTTTTTAATTGCTCACGTTTCAGCAACAGATCTTTTCTTTTATAACGATTTGCTATTTTCTTTCCATCTAAATTATAGGCGCTATTAGTTCAATTGCCAGAGAGAAAAGAAAGAGAGGGAGAGAAAGCTTGATAGTTTCTCGTTATTGGCTGTTATTCTTAATTCTCCCTTTTGCACTTTTTATTTTAATTAGCATCGTTATTAGTTCAATTAACGCAAGGGCAGCTAATATTTTCATAGTAAAATTGTATCGATTTTTTGTGACTACGTTTTCCGTTCTATTATTGAAGATAATTAATACATTTTTCATATCAATCTCTATTTTAAAACATTATCCATTCATTTTTAAACATTTTCAAAAATCCACCCATTAAATATATTTAAGCAAACTGCCTCTTTCCTTCTTTTTGCAATTACTTATACGAGTTTCATTAAAAGTAGTGCATACAGAATAATCTTTATATTTTAGTTCCTGTTTTACGTTTTTTTATATATTTTTCCGTCGCTTTATATAGTTTTACGTCCTCAGTTTAAAGAATTATTGCACTGTAAGTACTTGCATGTATTTTTTAGATCTGCTCATACAAACATTTTTCCGTTATTTTTATTGTTGTCACGCACTTCGCACAAATTATATTGTTGCGCAATTCGCACAAATTATATTGCAGTGATATCCAAATCGTCATATTTAGAAACTTCGCGTGACCGTCGATTCGGTGAATTTTCGTTTCAAACATTTATTTCCAGCAATTACTGCGCAACGTGTCTCATCTAATATTGCTAGATGCGTCGTTGCACTCGGATGCAGTTGAAATCCACAACTACATTACTACAGTGCGGCAGCACGAAAACACTTCCGAATA